ATGAGGGTTTCTACTTCCTTGGAAGAATTGTCCCTGTGAATTTCTGAGAGTATAATTCTGTTAAGGAGTAGAAAGCCTCATCTTTCTTCTGAGAAGTGGCCATTGGTTTTGAACTGATGACTTTGTGGTTAGTAACCCAACACGTAACCACTATGCTACCAGGACTCCTCATTCTCCCATTAGCCCCTTTAATTATTTTACTTATTTATGTGTTCAACTGAGTCAAGGGTAAGTTTGAGTTGCATATCAAAGCAACTCATTTTTGGAGGCTGCTGCGATTTCCTCTCATCTGCGAAATATTTCTGGGAGAAGTGGACATGTGAGCCCTGGTAGCAGAGCACGAACAGCTTGGAGCAGCATTCATTGCCATGGCTGAGTCCCATGGGCATAAACACCCACTTTGTTGAGTCTGAGGAATCTGAGACTTGAGGAAGAGTGCCAGACATCTGTTTGTGCTAGCACTCTGAGGAGCCCTGAGTAAGCTCTTACTTACCTTACACACCGACGTGTGGAGCTGTGTTTTGTGTCATTAGGTTGTTTGATTTGTTGTAAATACGTAGGTGTTGTGAAGAACTTTTAAGTATCTGGAGGATTAAGACAAGAGAGTTTTGGTTAGACTTAATCTGTTAATTTTCAGTATTGCTCAGCATGAGTTTTTCTACCCTTGCACAAAGGTAACCGGAGATGGAGTTGTGTGATAGAGGCATTTTTATCCACACGATGATTCTAGAATTGAAGGTTCAGTGCCATGTTTTGAGATCGCATGGATCTTGGCAATGGAGGACAAGATAAGCTTAATTTTGCTTCTAAAATCTGATTGCCAAAAGAAATAGGTCAGAGTTCTAAAGTAACTAGCTCCACTGTTTACTGTTTCCTCCTCTTCTGAGTCTGAAAAGAATAGCCTGTTAAATCATTTCTGGCAAACTGGAGAGCAGAGCTTAAATTAAAAAACAAAAGAAGAGGACGAATTTAGAATGAGGCTAGGACTTCAGCACATTAGGTAAATACATAAAGAAAGAAGGAAAGAAAATACTACATTCTGGAAACATCTACAAGGATATAGCACATTGGTGGTATATTTGTATAGTTAGTGTCTGCTTCCCGCTGTGTAAGCATCCATGGAACAAAACTCTTGCTGGTTTAGTTTTTCCCTCTAAGAATGAAATTTTGTTTGTTTTGGAAGCTTGATAATCTGGCAGCAGGGCCTTTGGAGGAGCAGAGTTGGCTGTTCAAATGACACCTCTGTCTTTTTGAGCCCAGGAGCCTCGTTCGGGGGGATCACTGAGCCCTTGGTACCTTTCTCACTTGTAAAATGGCAGGAACAGTGCTGACCTCATACGTCTCTGAGATTATGAAAGTGCTTCAAAGACAGCGTATTAACTGCTTACTCAATTTTAGATAGAAAAATGAAATAGGCAGTAATAGGCATATCTATCTAAATTTTCAGTACCAACTTGTAGAAAAGAATCCATAAAATAATTGATTGTGGATAGGTTTGATTCTTGGGAATTGAAAAGGTGCTCCATTTACTGTTCCTTCCCTCTTACCCCTTGCCTACTGTCCTCTTCCGGCACTTCCTTTGGAGCGCTGAGTTTGGGGGATTTAGGGCCTAAGGAAATTCATACCTTTTCACAATGGTGGTTGTGCAGAATAATAAAGATCTGGTTTTATTTGTTACAATTATATACAGTAAATCATAATATTACAAATGCCAGTAAAACAGAAACAAACTCATTGCCATTTGGTCAATGCCAACTCTTAGCAACCCGATAGGACGGGTTGAGTTTTCAGGACGATAACTCTTTATAGGAGTAGAAAGCCTCATCTTTTCCCCAAGGTGTGGCTGGTGGTGTCGAACTGCTGGCCTTGCGGATCAAAGCCCAGTGTGTATCCATACTACCACCCGATGTCTTATACTTGCTAGTTGATATCATTTACTTCTATCCACCAAGCAGTTCCATAATAAACATCTCCTTTGATCCCTTTAATAACCTAAGATATAAGTATTATGGCTCCTATTATCCAGATAAGAACATGAAGACACAGTTTAAGAAGTATGTTTAAGCTTCCATGGCTGGAAAGAGTTTTAAAACCTCGGATAATTGTATGGTAAGTGTTAGTATCCGTGATTTGGTACCAGTACTTATCTGAGACACGAGGGCAATGGCGGTTCATTGCCACATGTTTGCCTTCCACACGGGAGAGACTCAATTTTGATTCCTGACTGATGCACTCCGTGTGCACCCACCGCCGGTCTGTCAGCGGAGGGTTGTATGTTGCTCTGTTGCTGAACAACTTTCAACAGAGTCTGTAGACTAGGAGGCAAGCATCACCGAGCCGGACCTGCTGTCCATCGTAGAATGGAACCAGGGCTTAGCAGCATTGACGGTGGTTTAATTGTACATGGGCTGCTTCCTGACAGCTAACAACTGACCTGAAGGGTAGTCTTATCCTTTGAAATGCCACGACAATTGAAGCTCATTGAGGGAGTGGTTAGTAGTTACAAGCTTTGAAACATGTTCCACCTAATTAGGATTTGGGTAGGGAGGATTGATGGCCTTGGTCCTGTGCCTGTTGTTCTGGGCCGGCTTTGCTGTGTGGTCCGGCTCCTCACCGAGCTGCCTTGGGTGAGGACAGGTGGGGGCCACTGGGGGGGCAAAGTGATTAAATGAATGGTCAGCGTTCATAATGTTGCGGTCAGTGTGGATTTACTACCAGGCAGGTTTCTTAGGGAAGTTAGCGTCTATCCAGTCTCGGTTCTTGGAATACAGCTCTCCTATTATTGTTTGGACTTTGGATGCCCGGGGGCAGTATGCTGTTTGGTTTCCTATTCTAGTAACAGCCCCAAACCATTTGCCTTATTTGTAAGGATCAAACATAGGTAAGTCATCCTGGACCTGTTAAGACCGGAAGAACTTCCAAGGCTGTTGTCTTAGAATTCTCTTCAAACTTTGAAAGGAAATAGTCCCCCTGAAGTCATCCTCAATCAAAAACAGTGTAGCTTAAACAGTAAAGAAAGACATCCCTAAATAGCATGTCATTTTTAAAAAGACACATTAAAGTTTTAAAAGGAGGTACAATCATGACTAGATTGTAGTCTAAAGCATAGGTGAGAACTTGAATGAATGAGGGGAGGCACCGAAAGCAGGAGTGGTGAGACTGTGGACGCCACGCGAAGAATGTGAGCCAGGCCTCGGAGCGGAGCGTTGTATGTAGAAAGGATTCACTGGGACCATGTTTTAAAGTGTATGTTTTCTCCACAAATAAAATATGGTTAAATTCAAAAGTGAAACAGATATATTACCGAGCTATTCCAGATATTGGTCACAGGTGTCATCGTCTTCCATGGAATTCTGTCCGCTCCCTTTTCTTCTTTCTGGCTGTGTTACCATATTCTTCTCCACCTATCTTCTCTCTTGTCTTTCCCACCCACACCTTCTTCAATTTGAACAGCGACATACGGGGATAAATCCAGCTGCGGACAACAGTCTAGGCAGCAGAGGCTTTCTGAGGCAGATAAGTAGTTTGCTATTTGCTAGAGTGCCCTATTGGGACCGAGAATCCGTGGGATTATGGGGTTTGCAGGTTACCAGTTGGAGCACTAAATTAAATTTTCACTAGCAAATATTTGTCCACTTTAATTTAAATCACGTTTTTAAATTCCTTTGACACATGAGGGGGCAGTATGGTATCAAGCAAAGGCCCTGCTGAAATGTGTGTCTTTTTATGAGTGTATCATTGTTTTTTTTAAAGTGAGAACTTCCAGGTCACTAAGGTTCTAGTACAGCTATTAGATTATTAAATGTGAAATAGATGGCGATAAGCGATACCTTTCCTCAGAGACAGAGATCTTGTGAGTGGTTTGGTTGAAATGCATGCACGATTTCATTACAACTCCACTGCTTCCTCTCAGTACCTTTTCCGGGCGAGCTTGACGTTGGCGCTTTGGTCAGCCTGGTGGAGACGCCGGGCCATTACAATGATGTCTCTAAATAACATGTTTTGCAGCTTCACCGAAGCCCAAAGGGCCTTCAGGGTTCCTGGAGATAGGAAACCTCTGAACTCAGGTCTTGGCAGCTCTGGAAAATCTATCACCAATCACCTCCATCCAAGGGGGGAAAATGGCTGCGCCAAGAAGTGGTACATTCCAATGAATACTCCCATACTGACATATGAATGACTTTGTAGATTGGACGCCCTTATGCTAGGTTTCATCAATGCCCGTATGCTAGGTTTCATTAATGGATGTATGCTAGGTTTTATCAATGCCCGTATGCTAGGTTTCATCAATGGACGTATGCTAGGTTTCATCAATGCCCGTGTGCTAGGTTTCATTAGTGGATGTATGCTAGGTTTCATCAATGCCCTTGTGCTAGGTTTCATCAATGGATGTATGCTAGGTTTCATCAATGCCCTTGTGCTAGGTTTCATCAATGGATGTATGCTAGGTTTCATCAATGCCCTTGTGCTAGGTTTCATCAGTGCCCGTATGCTGGGTTTCATCAATGGACGAGGAAAGGATACGGAGCAGTTGGAGGGTAGTAAACGAGTCTATCACAGCTACAGAAATGTTTTGTGAAAAACGTAGTTGGGAATCCAAAAGGTGATTTCATAAAAACCAGTGATTTTTTTACTAGTGTAGTAAATATTTGCACGTCTGTTTCTGTTCATCCTGACCACTTTCTTTAGAGGTGAAGAAGGAGGGTGGTATCGTCTATGGCATAATGATCATTCTATGTGTTCAGTTTGAGAATGAATTTATTTGGAATGGATGACAATTGCTTTTATTTGACTTTAGTCAGACATTTTGTTTCGAAGTTTTCGGTTTAAATAGCAATTGGCTTCATCACTTGCACCCAACGTTGGAAGGGATGGACTTTTGACACCAGTCTTCCCTGAATGAACTCCTGATCTCGTGTTGCTACTGATAGTTTACTGTTGTAATCCGCAGGCCTCTGTTCACAGTAATCAATGAATGCCCCCCTGTGCTTTCATGGCAGATTTTTAGGACCCTGCCTGATGCCACACTCTCGGAGGCAGCCCCACTGTCAACGTCACCCCCCAACGCACCCCCAAGGCAATCGAAGAGACAAGGACCGAGGAACAAGAGGCCTCTGGCTGTGTATAACCTGTGTCTTCAGTTGCAAGATGGTAAGATGTTAATTTTATCTTTCAGCTTGACAGCATATTAAGAATATGACATATCCTATGTCCTCAGGGCAAGCCACAGTTTTCTTTCCTTTGGTTTTAATCTCCCTTCCCCTTAAAATGATAATTTTTTGAGATTAACAGGGAGAGAGTCAAGCTGTATTGTCAGGGAGAAAATGCAAGTGTTCAGTTTTGTGTTTGTCTCTGTGATGCCTGGTTCTTTTTTTATTTTTTAAAGACAGCTTAAATTTCTTTTTTGGGAGGCTTGTGTGACCTCCTGTGAGATTACATAACCCTGAGACAAATGGAAGGGGAACTAAAAGTAGCTCTTTCATGAGCCGAGCTGGTAGAGTCGCATGTTAACTACATCTACATTACAGACACAGGTCACGACTGCCCGAGGTTTGTGCCTGTGCCACCCCTTCTGGCCCAGTTTTTCTGACCTTCTCAGAAGGCAGACCACTTGGTCATGCAGCAGGCACTAGCCGTTGACCTGCCAGGGCCAGGCTGAGTGAGCCGAGCTGCCGCAGGGAGACGCAAATAGCAGATCTCCCGTCTCAGCTCAGCTCCCATGAGCCTGCTAATTACTGCCAGGTGGCAACATGCTTTCACTCGTGTTCGATTGCCCAGTGTTTAAAGAGCGCTTAGAGACCGGAATGCTAAGCACCGATTCATACAAAATGACACTGTGAGCCATCGTGGAGGCCACAACCCGGTTCACAGTCCTGTGCTCACGGCGTGGAAGGCAAGGTGACGGCTGGTGTCAAACACTACTTGTGCCGCAGAGGGGCTGCTTTGTTTTGGAACCTCATCCCTCTCGGCACATTTCCTTGAACTTGAACTGAGTTTCAGGTTTTTTCTTGCTTAAGTACACCTGCACCACGAGCCTTCAAAGTGGAATTGAAAGACAATGGAATTGGCCTGTGAACTTTTTGAAACTTCCTCATATCGATTGAAGAAATCAATTCATTTATTATTCTTTTGAGAAACTACGGTTATATTGGTTTGAAAATGTGAGATGCTCCTCAAAGGGAGAAAGGGTTGGAGGGTGGGAACAAATACCGCGACGATCCCATAAACAGCTACATCATCCAAGGCCAAAGAGCCGTGCAAGGCAAGTCACCATCATCTTCAACCCCGGAGGACTCAGTTGCTCCCTGCAGTAACCCAGAGTGCCGGAAGGGGGAAGGTCTTTCACATGGCTTTAGACCTAGAGACTTATGATATGACTATTAGTGCTGCAGTCAGATCCTTCTTTCCCAGAGAAGGGCATACACCAGCCTGTAATTTCAGAGCTTCGTTTAAATTCCACCTATAATTTCAGTGCTCTGAGACATTTGTTTCAACTTCTGATCCCAGCTAACTTTTTCATTCTCTTTTTTTCCTCTTCCCACTCTCACTCTCTCTCAGTAGAGTTGCCAATAAGGAGTAAAACTGACTGGCTTGACTTGCACCTTCTTGTATATCTCACATGGGCTGTCGTGGAAGTGGAATAAACAATGAAGTCAGCAGAGGTAGCAGAAATCGGAGGGGTGAAAGGAAATTCGGAACGGATAGAATAGAACCTAAAACTGGAATGACTATTTCAAAAGGGAAATGACAAAGGAGAGAATCTTATTTTAGTAGCACATCTTTTGTGTGGCATTTTAGGAATTGAATCAACACATCCCGTTTGTATAGTGTATTAATCTGTTGGTTGTTGGACTGTTACATGATTATGAGTAAGAAACTGCTCTCATAATATTTAGCATATCTTGATGGGAATTTTCAAGGTGATGTACAATCAAGGGTTTCCTAATTTTCGGGTGTATATATTTTTAGGATTGTAATTCTTAAAAATTATTTTATTCTAAAGGAAAGATACATCAAATATTCATCTATTTTAGTTTTTGTGTTCATTATTGGTATTCTATTCTACGTTTTGTCTCTTACAAAATACTCTATAACTTTATATTAATTCTTCTTGATTTGCATTATTTGGACAGCTGTCTGCAACAAGGAACCCGAGGTTAGTCTTGGAGTGGTTTTATTTCACGTTAGGGCTTATGAGCTAAAATAGTAATAATAACTATTAGTGAAACTTACACCATGTGAAGAGTTTTCCAGAGCAAACAGAGTCAGTCGGATCCGTAGTTTGCCATAGACTTTCATATTCTAAAAATAATTTGGGATCACATGAAGAGAACCAACTCAACCAAAATCTCTGTTCCTGAGTCGACTCCAACTCTTTGTGACCCTGTAGTATAGAGTGGACCGGCTCTTGAGGGTTTCTGGTTATGAATCTTTATGAGAGTAGAAAGCCTCATCTTTCCCCCTTGGAGCTACGGATGAGTTTGAACCAGCAACCTTGTCGATAGCAGTCTAGCATGTACCCGCCACCAAGCTCAAGCTCACGTGCTCTTCAGGCAATTTTCAACTCATAGTGGTCCAGTAGTTCAAAGTAGAATGAACTGTTCCCGTGGGTAACGTTTTATGGTAGCATCAAACCTCGTCTTTCTCCTGTGGCGCGGTGGATGATTTCAAACTGCTGAGCTTGTGGTTAGCAGCCCGACCAAAACCACTACACCACCAGAGCACCTTCAAATCATGAGAAGAGAGGCGGTAAATGCACGTTTTCAGGGACTCACACAGTTAGAGAGGACTGAAGTCGAATCTCGTGCCACTGAATATCACTTAGATATAGAAATGTTTCCCCCTCCAAAAAAAAGAAAGAAATGATATATTCTTATTACCAATATCCTGGATCATCCTTTATAATTGTCACCTCTACATGATGATTTTGAAATGATTCATCTTTTTTTCTTCTTGCATGTTTTTCTCCATGTTTATCTACTGTTGGTGCATCCCAGCCAATTTTGGTTGATTGCTTTTCCTGGTTTATATGAGTGTGGTAGAAAATGTTAATGCGAACGCTTCCCCATCCCCTCAATTTTCTCATTGTAGCATAAGCTAAATTTGACTTAGTGAAATCCACGACACATGTTTTTTGCTTACAAGTTAGATTGTGTGCTGAGATTCAAGGAACTGACCAAATGAGGTTCTAGCTTGATTGGAGATGTTACTCAGCCTAGTGATTCGGTCAGAGATTTGGTATTTGAGTGAGGTGGTTTGTGGTCTGTTATTTCTTCTTCTCCATTAAATAAGAGTATGAAGCTATGGGATGATTCCAACAGCCAGCCCTGGAAAGTACTTAGAATTGGTTTCAGTTGAAGATGGAGCAGATCAAAAAGTCATTTGCAGAGAGTCAGCAAGGCTGTTCACATAAGCCACGCTATGGCGATAGCAAACCATCTGAATTCAGTCGTGGCCTGGAGTCAGAGACTAGGATAGAACTTCTCTGCGGTTGGACATGAATTGTCTTGTGTGATTTAATGCTCCTCCATTTCTTTCATGGAGGGACGACCAGTTTCACTAAAGAAACCCGGGGTCTTAATTGTAATGAAGATTTTAATTGGGTGTGGCATATTTATCCACATTGTGTTCCAAAAACGCGTTCCTGGTTTATGTAAAAGATAATTAAATGATTTTAAACTTATCTACACACCGCTTTAAATTTTCTCGTTTAGAAATCTGTATTGATAATATGTACAGGCTGAAATGGATAGAAGGATACTTAGCTAGATCCCCTCCCCGCCACCACACCCAATAAAGCAGCTTTAGAATCTTGATAAAAATCCTTGTATTTTGTTGTTTGTTCATTTTCTCGTAGCCTGTAATAGTCTGATGAACTGCAAAGCTAAGTAGATTTGTCCGGGTAACTTGTTAAGAAATAGCATTTATGATGCTCCAAAAAATCTGAAGTGGGTTTCTTTTTTGTTTGTTTGTTTTAATCATTTTATTAGGGGCTCATACAACTCTTATCACAATCCATACACACATCAATTGTGTAAAGCGCATTTGTACATTCATTGCCCTCATCATTCTCAAAACATTTTCTCTCCACTTAAACCCCCTGCATTAGGTCCTCATTTTTCCCCTCCCTCCCCACTCCCCCCTCCCTCATGAGCCCTTGATAGTTTATAAATGGGTATTTTGTCATATCTTGCCCTGTCCGATGTCTCCCTTCACCCACTTTTCCGTTGTCCGTCCCCCCGGGAGGGGGTCACATATAGTTCCTTGTAATCGGTTCCCTCTTTCCTACCCTCTCTCCCTCTATCCTCCCTGTTTCGCCACTCACACCACTGGTCATGTAGGGCTCATCCGCCCTGGATTCCCTGTATTTTCAGTTCCTATCTGTACCAGTGTACATCCTCTGGTCTAGCCAGACTTGCAAGGCCGAATTTGAGTTATGGTAGTGGGAGCGGGGAGGAAACATTTAGGAACTAGAGGAAAGTTGTATTTTTCATCGTTGTTACATCGCACCCTGACTGGCTCATCTCCTCCCCAAGACCCCTCTGCAAGGGGATCTCCAGTGGCCTACTAATGGGCTTTGGGTCTCCACGCCGCACTCCCCCCATCATTCACTATGGTAAGATTTTTTTGTTCTGATGATGCCTTATACCTGATCCCTTCGATACCTCATGGTTGTGAAGTGGGTTTCTAAGTGGTACCAAGAGCGGATTAAAAAAAGCATAGGTTTGCTTTCCCTCTATTCTTACATAGCCCTGTTTCCTTAGATATAATAGTAAAGTACGAATCCCTTGTGGTGTCTTTATTTTTCAAATCGGAAAATTGGTGGTCTCAATCGAGGGAGAAAGGCGTGGCAGTCTGCTTCTGTCAAGATGTGCAGCCTTGGGAACTGTATGGGGCAGGTTAACTGCCTTCTGCAGGGTCCCTGTGGGTTGCACTGGACGAGGTGGCAACAGGGTAGTCACTCTTAAAAGGCCGAGTGTTTATGACACTTGTGTTTCCGTGCCTGCTCCAAAAGATGCTCTTGCTGCCTCTTAGCTAGAGAGAGCGGTCCGGAGGTGGCGGGGACTGCAGGGCAGTGAGTTTGGTGTCCTGCGTGGCAACTCCCTCCACCACCAGGCACGTTCATGATGTGCTCTGAAATGAAATGACCC